GGAGGGTGCTTGGCCATTTTAAACCATCAGATCAAAATATCAATGGCTTAAAAAGAGTGGGTCCATTTTTGGCACAAATCTCTAGGGCTGAGTTTTAATCCCTGCCCTCTGTTTTAGTAAGGTACTCTGCCTTATGGCAGAGGATCTCTATCCGGTTGGAGGAGGTTTCCAAACCCAACAAAAAAATATGTGATGTATATTTTGATATAAATATGTATAAATATTTATAAAGAGTAAAAATATAGTGATATTTTAAGTTTTAGCCGAATTAGCCCCCTTAACTTACCATTTTTTACCTCGCTGCTCCTAATGCATACCCATTTTTACTTCAATAATCCAAGAGTCTTGTAGATTTGTGAAATATAAACGCAAAGCAAAATCAATATTTACGGCTCACATGGGAATCAAATCAATTCATAATTACATACGGAGTATATGAAGTACTCCGTATTTCGTAAGTTTTTCATTGTATCCAAAAGATCGAAGTTTTCGACAAGTTTCAATTAGGCAGAAAAATAAACCATAGATCCATAAGGATCTGGTTTGTCCCGAAATACTTGACGTGAGCCCGACCGCGCCATCATTCAACCAGGACAAGCTCACCTCGCCCCGTGAAGACCAAGTGATGGTCTTAACATTAGTATTAAACCATGGTTGCGCCCCACCACTCCCAATATATGTAAATAATAATGTAAACTAGTCTAACACTCACAACATACCGCAATAGTGTTACTTTTACATGGATTATAAGATGAGAAATATTGATAGAGAATATGAATTATTTATATGATCATATCACGATAGTGTTACTATTACATAGATTATAATTTATAAGATGAGAAATATTGATAGAGAATATGAATTATTTATATGATCATATCACGATAGTGTTACTATTACATATATTATAATTTATAAGATGAGAAATATTGATAGAGAATATGAATTATTTATATGATCATATCACGATAGTGTTACTATTACATAGATTATAATTTATAAGATGAGAAATATTGATAGAGAATATGAATTATTTATATGATCATATCACGATAGTGTTACTATTACATATATTATAATTTATAAGATGAGAAATATTGATAGAGAATATGAATTATTTATATGATCATATCACGATAGTGTTACTATTACATATATTATAATTTATAAGATGAGAAATATTGATAGAGAATATGAATTATTTATATGATCATAAGTTTAAATAGAAGTTTCAAATATGCTTTATAAACTATTATAGTATTTTTGTAGTTAAATATCAACATTTTTGAATGGAATAAGTTTTGACCTGTGACATTTTTCTGATGTCATTAAAGCACATTGTACTTGGCATGATAAATTAGCTAATATATCAATTTTAAATAACAAAATTAAATATCACCTATATGGCTATATCACTTTATAGATCTACATTTAATTTTATGTAGTTAATTTATAGTGAGTGGAGTTTATTTAGAGTCATGAACTGGTAAGAAATTTGATTTGATTATATATTAAGTTAATTAGGATGAAGTTTACTTTATGCGATGTCGAGGCAAATTCTAAAAATTTGATATGTATTAATTTTACTGAACTTTAAACTTGAAGTCTTATAATATTGAACTGAAGTACATTTGATGTTTTTATTTAGTCACTTTATCAATACCCCCGACCCAAAGCATAAAGAAGCCCGGGGAAAACAGGAAGCCCAACGCAATCGGAAGGCCCAAAACGTCCCGAACGGGGGATACCTGAACGACATTCGGGTAGATTTGTTCACTTGAGATGATCAAACAAAGTACTGGCATCCAAACACCCACAAAGGGGTCCCGCACGCCGAACGTACTACCCGGACGGATAGTCAGCAAGTGGGAGCTGCATTTAATGCTGAATTATGGCAATAACAAGGAGAGGCATGGGTGCATTTCGTGGCAGAGGTAACAGCCTACCGGGTTCGGCCACATGTCCATCTCACCTATCCCCTCTTAGTATAAATACCTGCATTGAAAACATTGTAAAGGGTTAGCAATTTCATACTCAAAGCTTAGCAATAGAATCGTTTCTCTTGTGTTGTATTTGAACTCATACCGACCTACCGTTCGGGCAGTTTCATTGTAATCACAGAATTACGTAATACAATTAGCTTCTGAGTTAAATCTGAATTCACCATTTTATATTGTATACACCTTTCTAACCAAAAGAAACATCCTTAATATCCAAAGCGTGTGTTGGGCTTTCAGATCTACGGGACAAAATTTCAACTAGTTATATTCGTTTTAAGATATACAAATTTTTGTTGCTCTCATTAACGGAAAAAATGTTAGGGAAGGATTAACTTTATGCTTAGTCAAATTTGTTAATCATTTTCACAAAATGATTTGGGACAGAGGGAGTATATTATTGTTTAAATTAGTTCTTGGAGTCGTGTATATTTAAATAATGATAAAAGTGATATTTAAAAAATTGTGGTGAGTTTTGTGATGCTACTGATGGTATTCATATTGTATACGAAGTATAATAAATTCTTGTATCGTATTTTTATATTTCCCCATCCCAGTAAAAGTGTTTCATCCTTCCCTTTTTATCCGTTCCAGTAAAATTTTCTCAGACCGAATTTGGTAATCTTTGTGTGATTCAAAAACATTCTTATGATATACGGAGTATATTTAATTTGCACTTTATCAAATTATTATCAACCATAACAACTCACTTTTTTTACAACTGCACCACATCTTCAAAGTGTATTAATGTAAATTGTTCATATATTGAATTTGAATCATAATTTACAACACAATTTGATGCTGAGCCCAATCAATGAGTATGTTATGTAGACGGTGCAAATTAATTAAATATTGTAGCGCAAAAGTACAATTTATTTTTTATATTGTATAAGCATTTGCATCATTTAATGAATTAAATAATGATTGTAAAAATGAAGTTAATAATCACTGTTAGAAGCCAATAAGGGAGCAATACATCATCATTTTATAACTCAGCTTTACTGTATAATACAATAGATTATATTGGATTTGAATTCAGAGTCTTGTAATATTGAACTGGAGTAGGCTCAAAGCATGTTTGGTAAAATAAAATTGGCTGATCGAATCGGCTAAACCTACTGAAATTCTATCTGAAGTGATTGAATTGGTTGAAGAATTGGATTTGTCGGGAAGAGCATATAATGCACTAGACACGGATAGATTTTATGTTTGAAGGTCATCCTATCCGGGCATGCCACGTAATCCCAACCACTACCATATCATGTTGTAGTATAAATACTCATATTTACTTCATTCATTGCAAACGATTGACAAACATGCATTGAATAAATTAGTCTTTCTCTACTCCTATAGCATTCAACACACTTTCGAGTTAGAACTAGGGCTAAGCAAGGGTGCGCGGTTGTTGGAGGTATTGGTCCTACCAAGGCCTCCCTTCCATTTTATTATTGACTTGCACCCATGTTTACTCCCACTTTGATACCTTCTTTTGAATCTCTCCTAACCAATAATATGGCCATTTTGACTTATGTGGAGTGACCCCAAATGAGTTGTCCGCTGCCTCCTCCTTTGTCTTTGTTTCACCCGTGAGTGTCCTTTAGTGTTGGCCAGTCTATTATTTAGCAGCTCTCTTCTTCCTTGTGAGCTTGTTCTGCGTGAGAGAAAATCCAGAGAGCAGACCCCTTCTCCTTTCCTTTGTGTGTAAGTTGAGAGAGGTACCTTAGTGGTGGAGATAAAACATGGTGTTGTGTTATGGTCTAGCCTAGGGTGGTGTATGTGAGCCTATTGTGGAGGTTGGAGACCTGAGCCGGAAAGAAATCGACACCCAACAGCGGTAAATTAAACGTGTTATATTCATTAATAAGAACCGGCTACACTTTACCTCTGAATTGCTCAAATCGTATTTATGGTCACCATCATATCTGATCAAATAATTAACCATCTTAATAATTATCACTTGATGAAATCTGAGGGATCGTGTTGGGAACTTGAACAAAAGATTTCGAGCAAGCTCATTCGTGCTAGACAACATATTTGAAAACCTGAAATAACTACTCTCTCCGTCCCTAAATAAACTTCCAACTTTCCTTTTTCGTCCGTCCCAATTAAAACTTCCACTTTCCCTTTTTGGCCAGAATTTGTGGTTCACAGCAATTCTTACACATTTCTCTCTCCTCTGCACAACTCTCAACCACACAATACTCACTATCTTAAACTGTGTGCCAAACCTATTTGGAAGATAAATTAGGGACGGAGGGAGTACTAAAGAAATGACACAACAACCTTCATACCACGTACACGGTAGATCTGTGGACCCAAAAATTAAATTAAAATTTTCATAAACAAATAAAAGGCTAAAAAAGATTATAAAAATTTATTTTTATTTAATTAACTTTTTGGTAGTTTGTGGAATCAAATAATATAAATATATAGTTATAGAATATGGAAAAACTTATATAAATTTTACAGTTACAATTTCATAACATGTAAGATATTATAAATATATAATGAATATAAAATATATAAATCAGGAGAGTAAAAATGTCAATATAAAAACCTTAAAGTAAAAATGAATACTAAAATAGTGGGTTCACTTGACGGTATTGACTAACAAAATAAGTTGGCGTGTTAGTAGAAGATGCTTGATAATTTAATTGTTTGGTCATCACAAGTAGTAGAAATGTCATATTTCAAAACGCTAACTCAATATTCTCATATTTGTAGCATTTGCACTTCAATGATTATGTCTAAATACGCTAGAGTCGAACCACTATTACCAAATAAACGTTTTCACTTATTTAAAATGCTAAAAGAAGTCGAAGTAATTTTTTTATTTTAGCTCAAATGTCATTTTTCAATTCAAACACCCCTATATTTAAACTTTCATAAAATTGATTTCCTTTGACCAAACACCAACACGGTGACTTCGCGTTGTCGCTTTCTTCGGAAGATACCAACATTTGCCTTGACCATATTTTGGATCTACATTCCATTCCCTCTAACTATCTTTCTCCATCATTTCCCTGGCCAAAACACATAATATAATGCTCTCCGGCTTCTTTCTCTCGCCTCTGCTGCCGGATATCTGACGCCGACATCTTCCGTTGGCGAGCGGATTGGAGCATATCTTCCCAACCCGCGGCGCCAAACTCGATCATCAGCAGAATGCCACCGTCGACCACCACGGCCACCAATAACAACATGGCGGAGGAGGAGGATGGATTCTCCGACGTCCTCGTGTGGCCGTTCGGAAGAGTCGAAGGTTTGGACAACGACGATTTCCGGGAGGCCGCGTACGAGATATTCTTCACGGCGTGTCGCGGGTCTTCTCCGGCCTTTGGTCGGGGAGCTTCGCAACCGGAGGCATTGGATGGAACGGTTCCCGGATCGCCGGCGAAGGCTCAAGGGGTCGGGGTGGGAATGGCGGTGACCAGCCGGGTGAAGACAGCGTTAGGGCTGAAAATGATGAAACGGTTGCCGTCGCGGAGGGCGAGCTCGGGTGGGCCCATTGCCGCCCCATCATCGCCGAGTGGGTCCCCGGGTTTGCAGGCGCGGGGAAAGAGGCCTATGACATCTGCGGAGATAATGCGGCGGCAGATGAGGGTGACGGAGCACAGCGATAACAGGCTCCGCAAAACTCTCCTCAGGACTCTTGTTGGCCAAGTACGTAATCCTTTCTTTTACATGCATGCATTGATTACCAGGTTTAACAAACTACTACTCCCTCTATTCCTAAAATAAGTTCCATTTCGTTTATCGAGAGTCAACTTAAATCACTCTTAAACTCTTACTTTTTATATCAAAATTTTATAAAAGTTGAATTATTTTTTGCAGGCTTTGTAGCGGGTTTAATGTAGTTTATGAATTTGTAAATTTTATTTACTAAAAATAATCCGAGTTTTCACAGGGATCATTTAACTTTATCGTCGGTCAACCTTAGTAATCCGCAATTGGAACAACATTTAGGGACAGAGGGAGTAGTACATAAGTACATAGTGCGTTATATGTTTATTACGGAGTATATTGCAGATCATCTATATTTTTCCTTTGTGTAATGATAAATGATAGCCAAATTAGATTAATTACATGATACTCGGTAATATACTCTCAGTTTTTACGAGGTTTGACCGATGATAAATCAATCAGATTTCTGTCTGCACTCAAATTATTCTTAAAATAAAAAATTGCATATTCAGAAACAACTTTCAAAGATTTACAAAATCGCTAAAATAAGAATTAAATTTGATAAAGAAATTGATATACTCCGTATAAAATAAGAGATTAAAAATAATTTGTTCATTTTTTAAAACTTAAAGTGAATATCGTGTAATTATTAGTATTAGTGGAGCGGGCCAAACAGGTGTGTGTAATTATTAGTATTAGTGGAGCGGGCCAAGCACGTGCGTGGTAACAAGGGCTGGCAAAATCTTAATGGGCAATTCTATTCACAGCCTCATCTTTGCTAACTACAGCCCCTTAGTTCCGTTTTGGATAAAATATATTTCATAATACCTATTATACCCATTCTTGCAACGTCAAGACACTCCATCGTCACTCCCGTCCTCAACCAAAAAGTCCTCTTCTTTCCACAAGTACAGCTGCTGGGCAGAGGTGTGGTCTGTGTGACCCAAATAACAAAAATAATGCCAATCGATGATTGAAGGCTACTCGCCTGTGAGACTTTGATCTTTGAACTCTAACCTTCCTCTGCGCCCAAAGTAGTAGTGGGCGGGGATCTAACCACACATCCGATTTTGTGGGTCTCAGTCGCAGGCGGCTGTCGGTCTCCCATCTCAACGTCCTCATCTGCACACCGTCGTCTTCAGCAGCTTAAGCTAATTAAGTCCCAAAATTTTAACTCTTTCTCCTTCTGCGACCTGGACTGCTGCTTACTTTTTCTCTTCTGGGAGATTTGTTTACTTTGTAGAGTCTGAGGTGGGACTTGAGATTGTAAATAGATTATTATGTGCTTCGTAATTAGCCTATACTCTTGTAATAGATGGGAATGTGGGATTGTCAGGTTCCCTCATAGTATGTGGTGCTTGAAGGCTGAAGGTAAATCTATTTACAATCTCGAATGGAGCCTTCTTTTTAATCAAGAATTCACGGATTTCATCAAATTTGTGTTTCCCTTATTGCTGGCGACGTGTATATAGAATAAATAGATAAATCCTGAACGATTCCATCTCTGCATGTGATTTTACGCTCAGTAAACTGTTATTAGTTCAAAAGTTTCCGGATGTTATTATATTTTAGGAGGGCAAATTAGATATTTAAACTAAACGGGGGCTGTACTTGGCAAAATGGAGGCTGCAAATAGAATCTCCCAATCTTAATTCCTAGGAAATTGCACTCATTTGCCATCGCTCTATTTTCTAGAAAAAATGGACAAAAATAATCCTAACTATTAATGACCTGTTTGAAATAATCCAAAGTATCAATTATCTCAAAATAATTTCAACTATTGAAAAATCTTCTCAAAATACGCCGGTGACTTATAATTATCCGTAAATAACTTATACTCCGTAATATTTATTATTAAGTGGAGTATTTTGAAAAGATTTTTCAATAATTGAGATTATTTTGAAATAATTGATACTCCGTACTTTGGATTATTTCAAGCAAATCACACATAGTTGGGATAATTCTTGTCCATTATTCCTATTTTCTATTGTTTCAGAAATGGTAAAGCACAACATATATATATATATATATATATATATATATATATATATATATATATATAGGGGATGGTTCAGGTGAGAATGGAGTCTCAGGAGAGAAATGAGAATGAAATCCAACCTTCCATTCTCTCAATCTAATGGCCTAGAAATTGTAGATAAAGAGGCCATATATTCGGACTAATCAAGTTGTAAAAAAGGCTACATCAACTTGATATTTATTAATGGGTACAATGGTAAATGTGATTGGGGTGGTTGTCATGGACGAGTGATCTAAATAGGAAGTAATCCTACTTTTTAGGATAACCATTAATACGGGAGTAACTCCCACACAATTAGCAAGATTTGTTATTATAAATGTTTCTTTATTATTTAATTCTCTTTCCAATTTTTTAATTCTCACTCATATAATTTGAATAGTCAATTCGGAAAAATATCTTTAAAATGTGCATTGTTATTCATGTCAAATCCGTTTATTTTCATATGCAATATTCCCATAGCACAATCAATATGTGTTTGTTGATTGCACTCCAATATTGAATAATTGCACTTTTATTTGTACTATTATGCACCACAAATATTAGTCATATTTATGTGAATGAGTTTTATTTTAGTAATATTTTGAGAAAAACTCTTGTTTTAAAAATCAACAATATTTATCAATGAACCAAATTTAAAGACAAATAGCATTTTTATTGTATTAATTTGCACTTTTTTAAATTGCACATTTATGACATTGGCTTGCACTTGCTATAATATTTACTGCACTTTACGCATACCATTGTGCACTTCCATACATCTTTCTAATCAAAATGAAATGCACTTTAAACATGTGCATTAAAATATAAAGAGGGGTGCATTATTGTTTCAAACTTTCTAAAAATTTACACAAACGTTGCAGTGCATCTATTATACTAAAAAGGTGCAACATATACAATTATGTTGATGCAATTTTTAAATAAAATATAAAGCATAATAATAAATGGAAAATTATTTTAAAATAAAATAGAAGATTTATGTAAACATAAAGTGATAAAATGACCGAGTTTTTTTTACAAAAAAATGAAAATGGGACGTAGGGTCTTTCTTTGTGACACCGAATTTGGGAATCATGAAGGTGTGGAAGAATCAAATGAGATAAAAGAATTTATTTTGATTGGCTAAACAAATGAAAAATAATTTGATATAAACTCTCTTAAGAATCGTAAATCAATAAAAGTAAACAGGATGATTTGTCATGCAAGATTATAGGATGTTAGTTATGGAAACAATTGCAAAATTGTAGAGAAGTAACCGTGTAACTTTAATATGGTGTCAAATTCTCTTATTTGCCCTTAATGAAGTGCTAAAATAATCCAAGATCGAATGGCTATAAATTATTCTCATTTCTCTCCTAAGATGGTTTTCTCACATGATCATTATTTTATATATATATATATATATCCATGTGTAACCTAGCTATGGGCAAGAATTCTTCATTTAAGAGGACAATGGTGGACTGGTGGTGTTTGGATCTGATTCTCAAAACTGATTCTGCTCCTTCAAGGAGCAGAAACATAAGCTAGAATGTTTGGGTGAAATTCCAGAAGCACTTCTGGTGCTCTAATTTATTCCAAGAATCAGGTTTTTTAAAAGCTGGGGTACCCACAAATCCCCAATCACACAACATATTTAGTCACAATTTTCCTGCATGGATAGCTTATACTACATATTTCATTAGTAATGTTCGATGTTAATTTGGTAGCAGACTAGCACTAGCAGCCATTATTGATTTATTGGTAGCAACTAGCAAGTAGCAACTAGCAAGTAGCAACTTGCAATTTTTCTTGCATGAGTGATTTTTTATTTGCAAACATTCTAAGAAAACGGCTAACAATGGGTAAATGTGGGCTGGGGATGCAGATGAACAGAAGAGCAGAGACAATCATCCTCCCATTAGAATTACTACGCAATCTCAAACCGTCCGAATTCAATGACCCACATGAGTATCATGTATGGCAGAAGAGACAGCTCAAGATCCTTGAGAACGGCCTCCTCTGCCACCCTTCTATCCCACTGGAGAAGTCCAATCCTCACGCCACCCGTTTTAAGGGAATCATCCAGGTCGTCGAGACCAAGTCGATTGACACCGGAAAGAACTCTGAGCTCATGAAAACCCTCATGAATTCAGTTGTTTCCTTGGCGTGGCGAAGCCCGGATGGATCCCTCATTGACGTTTGCCACTGGGCCGATGGCTATCCACTTAATGTCCACATCTACATTGCACTTCTCTGCAGCATCTTTGATTTGAAAGACGAGACACGAGTCCTGGATGAGGTTGACGAGTTGTTGGAGTTGATGAGGAAGACTTGGTTAACGTTGGGGATAAACAGGTCAATTCACAATCTCTGTTTCACTTGGGTTCTTTTCGAACAATATTTCATAACAGGACGGGTGGAGAACGATCTCCTAGGAGCATCGTTGGCAATGCTTGCCGAAGTCTCAAATGATGCGAAAAAGGCTGACAAGGAAGCTCTGTATGTCAAGATGCTGGGTAATGTTCTGTCATCTATGAAACAGTGGTCCGAGAAGAAGTTGTTGTCTTACCATGAAAGCTTCAACAGCGAAAATGTTGGGTTGTTAGAAATTGTTGTCTCTTTGGTTTTCTCCATCACCAAAATATTGGAAGACGATGTTCCTGGCTATGCTACTACTCTTGTTGGAAGAAAAGCATCTGCAGAGAACTCTGCAGGAAATCGGGTGGATCAATACATCAAATCATCTATCAAAAGAGCATTTTCAAAGGTTTGTCAATTGTGTACTTTCTTTTATTGCAACCGTTTCAGTTCCATAATATTTTCATACAAGTATCATTTTTTACTATACGTAGTATTTCTTATTAATTATAAATACGAATATTATTAAGTCAAATATTGTAAACTTTATGAAATACTAACAAATACATTAACAGAAAAAGAAATAGAGGATAAAATATGTGAAATTACTACGCAGTGACCACATTATTATTTTTGCAATAGCTTCAATGACTACATAAATGTTCAATTTTATATTGAAGTGATTATTTTGTTTGTTAATGGCTATAGTGATCAAGTAACCAGCTTTTAATTACAGTAATACTTTAGAAAAAACCAAGTACTAGACAACAACAACATTACTACCTGGCCGCAAAGGCTCCCACATATGTGGGGTATGGGGGGGGGGTCAGATGTACACAGCCTTACTCCTATACTAAAGCACATAGAGGTTTCCGAACGACACACGATGAAATCGCGTAGAAAACTGCATGGGCTAACTGTTGCTTCATAACAAAGAAGCCCAGACAATATAGTGAGTCATTTTGATTTATTCCATCATATTCCCAAGTCAAAAAATAGTGAGTTTTTGGCTCCGTTGGAAAAAGTTTATGAACCTTTCTGTAATTGTTTACTGTTCACTGTTTTTTAATTTGCATTGATAGTCTTTACAAAATTTAAGAGCAAAATGACAGGAATGATTAATATTTAATAATGTTGTTAAAATCGAAGGTTTGAGATGACTGATGAAAAAGTAGGAAAGGGGAAATGAAAAAATAGACAAGGCCAGGTTAAAAAGACGAGGATAAAGAGTAAAAAAAAGAGGCTAAAGTTAGTTTGTGTTGTACTCAACAGTGTAAGCGGACAATGTTTAAGGGTAATTTCATATTGCTTATAAAAGATTCTTACGATCTTATCACATCATTTAGCTTTTATTATGCATATACTAATTCGTACTGATTTCGTTTTGTTTGTTGTGAGATCAGATGCTAAAAGAACGGAAAATAGATTCAGAAGCATCTGAATTGAGTGACACACTGACAAGATTAGCTGATGGGACGGAAGAATTAGCAGCCAAGGAGAGGAAACTGTACAGTCCAGTACTAAAGAAATGGCACCCAGTGGCAGCAGGAGTGGCAGCAGTGGCATTGCACGAGTGTTATGGGAAAATGCTGAAGCAGTACTTATCGGGTGTCACGTCTCTCACTAACGAAACAGTTCTCTTATTGCAGAAAGCTGGAAAGCTTGAGAAGGTCTTGTTTCAGATGGTGGCTGGAGACTCGGAGGAATGTGAGGATGGGGGGAAAGCTATGATTAGGGAGATGGCCTCTTATGAAGTCGACTCAATGGTCAAAACCTTGTTAAGAAAATGGATTCAGGAAAAATTGAAGAAGTGCAGGGAGATTGTTAAAAGAGCAAAAGACACCGAGGCAAGTTTGGTTTATTTTGTCACGAGTATGTGTGACTTTTCATATTACTGTGATATTTTAAAGAAATTATATATGTAGGGAATAATTTAGGGAAGGGGTTAGTGAATAAAGATAAGCTCTCGGGTGAACTATATAACAAAAATGATGGTTGTACACGCTAAGTCAAATCGGGTCACTGTAAAAAAAAATCAGATCACAGACAAATCAAAAGTGTGGTGTGAAGAAAATCCATACTTATGTCCGCTGCAGAAAATAGTTTGCGAACCAAAAACAGACATTGGTTTGCATGCTAGTTTCTATACTTTGAACACAAGCCTATGTCTGTAATTTGTATACATGCAAACCGATGTCTCTGACTTTAGATTTTCTTCACATAACCGATGTGATTTTTTTATGTTTTCCATCATTTGCAATGGAGCCAAAGACTAATTATTTTTTGGCTTTAGAATATGATGGAATAAAGCAAATTGGCTCACTAAACTGTCTGCATTTCTTTATTATGAAGCATCAGTCAGTCCATGCAATTTTTTACGTGATTTTCACTACGAGTCATCCGGAAACAGTCTCTCTGTACTTTAGTACAGCCGTACAGGGGTAAGGCTGCGTACATCCAACCCCCCTTACCCCACCGTAGGTGGGAGCCCTTTGCGGCACTGGGTAATGACGACGATGATGATGAACAAAATGTTCTTATGAATATTGTAGAATTTGTGTACATCCAGCATTGTTGGTTAAAAAAAGCTTTAATTCATTAAGGCTATGAGAATATAAGTTTTAGAACTTCTTGATTCCCTAAACCCTTTGTACCTGTATAACTCCTCGCTTTCTAAGGGTTGTCCTTTTTAATGTCCTAACAGACATGGAATCCAAAATCCAAGTCAGAACCCTATGCTCAGTCTGCAGTGGAGCTAATGAGGCAGGGCAAGGAAATAGTGGATAGTTTCTTTGAGATTCCGGTTAGCATCTCTGAGGATTTTGTCAAAAGTCTTGCCAATGGCTTTGAGCTGATTGTCTGCGACCTAATTACTTTCACCATGTCATGTGGTAAGAATTTCATTCCACAAGAATTTCATTACACCACCTGGTTCACAAGTTTCATAGCTTTCATAATTAATGGCTCTATAAAATTTAAAAAAAAAAATAATAAAGCCGAGATCAGCTCAGTTAAGTTTCTGAAACTTTAGTATGGAAGAATCAATATAAAAAAGATAATAACATAACCGTTCATCTTATAGTCACCATTAACAAGCAAAAAAAACGGTACATTTGAATGCAAAATGAAAAGTGTCTCAACATTTTTTTAAACTACAATCCAGAAAAACCCGAAGTTGCTCCAAATACAATTCAATTAGTACATATGTAGTTAGACTTATATAAGGGCATAGACTAAAAAAAATGAAACAAACAATGCCTTGAAAATACGTATATGACCAATACGGTTAGATCAGAATATGTATGTTCTACGTGTGTAAATGATTCCATATGTATAATATATATTCCTTGACCATTCTTGGAATATAACTTTAGTAAGAAACAAGAACCAAAACATTAATTAAAACCCATAATCAAGCCGTTAACAAAGATAGTGATCCCCCTATGTAGAAACGACTTTGGATCAGCTATGTTCTACGGTTCCCAATTGGAGAATCCTATCTTTAACATGTAATGCTACATTTCCACTTCTTGCTATTTGAAAAACTAAGACAGGATTCTCTGCGATAGTAGAAACATTTGAAAAGCAGTTAGTAATATTGTGAATATATATTCATTGAATGCTTCCTTAATAATATGAGAAATTTACTTCAGTGACACTAATTATGATCCGGTGTAATGTACTCCGTATAAATTTCTGGATATACATATTTATGTGTTACTGGAAAATCTTATGCCTAATATCAATATATCATATATTGGATCATGGAATAATCTAAAAATAAATGGCATGTTTGCAGGATCAAAACAGACTTACATACCTGCATTACCTCCCCTAACAAGGTGTAGCAAAGACTCGAAATTTTCCAGGCTGTGGAAGAGAGCTGCCTGTAGGGTGGGAGCAGAAGGTGACTGCGAAATGTCCATCAACGAAGGAAACCACCCCCGCCCTTCAACAAGCCGCGGAACGCAGCGCCTTTACATAAGGCTGAACACATTGCATTACATCCTTTCCCACCTAAATTCCCTAGAAAAATCCCTTTCCTTGAATCCGAAGCTCGTACCTTCCCCGAAAAGGACCAGTATCTCTTCTACTTACTTTGACAAGGCGCGCTCAACCGTCCAAATAGCTTGCCAACACGTGTCGGAAGTTGCAGCCTACCGCCTGATCTTCTTCGATTCCAACTCGGTGTTCTACGGAAGCTTATACCACAGAGGTGTCGAGAATTCTCGAATACGGCCGGCGGTGAGAACATTGAAGCAAAACCTAGCGCTATTGTGCGCGATCGTAGTAGATACGGCTCAACCAACGGCGATAAGGGAAGTGATGAAGGCTTCATTCGAGGCCTATCTAATGGTTCTCCTGGCCGGAGGGAGTTCGAGAGTGTTCAACAGATCGGACCATGAGATGATCGAGGACGACTTTGAACACCTGAAACGGCTCTTCTATACGTGCGGCGAAGGACTGATGGCGGAAGACGGCGTGGATAAGGAGGCGCAGGCGGTGGATGGGGTGGTGGCGTTAATGGGCCAATCCACTCAACAATTAGTGGAAAATTTCAGCCTTTTGGCCTGTGAAGCCAGTGGGATAGGCCTAATGGGCCCGGGTCAGAGATTGCCCATGCCCCCAACAACAGGAAGATGGCACAGATCAGATCCAAACACCATATTAAGAGTACTTTGCTATAGGAATGACAAATTTGCAAATCTATTTCTTAAGAAGGCTTTCCAACTTCCTAAGAGGAGGGGCTAAAATACATTTATTGAGAAAATGTTTCTTTTTTGAGGGAATCTGCAGATTAGTTTGTCTACTTAATTAGGTATGACAAAATCATATTTTTAAACACTCATTTAATTGAAAAACATATTTTTGTTCAAAAAATCATATTGCATGTAAAATTCCGGGTGGTCAATAGTTTTCTTAATGTAATGTAAATTATGTAATGAAGCATTGGTTAATGGAGTTTGGGAGAGAAGTACATTGATCTTCACATCTTTCCTATGTGTTCATGGACATTTTCTTAGACTCCTTGTGTTTAATTATATACCCAAATTTTATGTAACTATGTACCATGTCATATATACTAAATTTGTTCCTATGGATGATGTGCATTGGAAACATGAAATTTTTTACAAACAAAAAATTGACAACCGAAATATTATTATTATTGCCTCATACAAAAGAACATACTACATTTCAAGGTATATCAAAGAGTGCAAAAGGTTGTATTTGTATTGCAATGTTATGAATTATTTGTGATAAGATTGTAAATAGGAATTATACTAGTTATTTTGATGATATTCCTGATAGTGTTATAAGTCAATTGGCAAACGATTTATTTAAGAGTTTTTACATAATTATTACCAATAGTATTTGGGATTACAAAAAAGTGACTATTAATAAGGAACACATTCGGCATCCGGGAGTAAAAGTAGGGCAAATAGTCATATTAGTGAGGTTTAAAGTAGTTATATTTATGTAGTATTTAATTAATGAAATAGTGTTTGTTTGCTTCAAAACAAAATCCATAGAATTGGTTGAGGGTGTTCGCCTTATACTTAAATAAATGAGTTACACAATGTGAATCCAAATTCAGTAAATTTTATAAGCCGAAAATTTATTTGACCAAGAGAAAATAGTGTCTTTGTCTCTCATTTATCATTTAAAATATCATTTTATAGAAGATCATTTAGAATATCCTTAACAAATTATTCATGATTTAATGCTCATCTTTTGAATAGTTAGCTTTATCAATTGAAATTTATAATTGACACATTAACTTATATTGTTACAAACAAAAGAACATTTATGAAAGTGCATGACCACGTAAATGAAAAGCTACAAATGAAAGGATTACTTTGACCTTGTTTTTATATCATTTACTGTATTATATTAAAAATAGATTCGTAAACTTGTTTACTGTGTAAGGTTTATGATGATAAAATATTATCGTTAAGAATCCATGACCAAATCCTTGAAAATATATATGAAGTTTTTCCTTTAATATTAATAAACTAAAGTTAATTTCCAAAAAAAGTGACCACATTTATATTTGGACAAAAATGTGACTAATGCACGGTGACATCTCCGCAGTGACATTTTCGCGGCTAATCTCGACAGTGACATCTCCGCCATCAGCGACCACAGTGACACCTCTGCAGTGACAATTCTGTCGCCATCACATGTGTCACTGCCGCCACTCCTGTTGCTGCCGCCGGTCACAGTGACACATCTACAGTGACAACTCCGTAGTGACGACATCTTTGCCCAACCTCTAGCCACAATGACATATCCGACGTCCGGCCGCCGCCAGGCAACGCCGCCGGTCACAATGACAACTCCGCGGTGACATCTCTATAGTGACAACTCCGCAGTGACACACAAATTACTTCGAGCACCGCCTTCTGACTGTTACCACGCCACCGCCACGCCACTGCCGCATTTAACCACCACGTCATCGCCGCCCGCCGCCTGCCGCCCGCCGCCGCCAACCAGCCTCCCTCTGCAGCTCCCCAGCCCTCCTTCCCATCCCAGACCCCTCCTTAGACCCCAGCCCACCCAGCTCCCCCTGCACCGCCTCCCATCCCCCCCACACCATTGTTGTCAGCACCCTTCAGCCTCCTCTCCAACTCTTACACCACCAAAAATCTTAGCGGCCGCAGACCTAAAACCTGTAATCCTACCCGCAGTGGCCGCATATCTAAGAAAAACTTACCACCTCCGCTGGAAAAACCTAGCCACGAAGAAAACGACTGGAATTCGGAGAAGAGGAAGATATAGGGCGAACAAGATGATTGGAAACGCCGTCGTCAATCTCGTTGTCCCTGTTGTGGCTCGCCCGTCGGACGTCGTCGCCCGAATGGTTGCAGAAAGTTTCAGCTCCCAGATGGCTGAAAAGAGGAACAATTCCAGATGACCACGAATAGGAAGGGACGGAAGGCTGCGAAGGAGAGTGCAGGGATAAACGGAACAGGGAAGTTAGATTGGTCACTTTTTGTCCAAGTATAAAATGGTCATATTTTTGTGCATTCAAACTGTATAAGTAATATTCATGTCATTCTTTCAATATATATTGGTATACGATCCGTGACAACCTAAAAGTTAATTGTACACACTTACCTAAAGGTTATTGGTTTAAAAGTCCACGGACTTTATTAAGATTTATAGAATTGTGTGAGTGAACTTTCTTGATTTATATAATCATATGGACTTCATATGAATGGTATTTAATTAATTATCCAATTTAATGGAAAATAAAAGTTTAAACTAGAATCATGGTAACTAACATTATAAGTCTAAATATCACAATAGATATGGTCAAAAAACATCATAATAGATAAAGTAATATGCTTACAACAAAATGATAACAAACAACATAAGAACTCGATCAAAGCAAATGTAATTTTACAAGATAGCATTGAGGTTTATTCTTCATCTACACCCGCACACTTCATATGATGATCTCAATAAAATCAATTCATTTGATCACATTTAGACATCAAACAGGGTGTACAATACATTATGTTACACTAACGGGTGACAAGGATTTATGAACGAAGTAGATAAAAATATCATATATTATCAAAAGTTGATGGTTGCCAATTGTTGAACATTGATTGGGTAGCTATCAGATGGCGGTCCGGAGTAGGCTCTTTGAGCAAGGACAGCATTCACATTCTGTGTTGTATGAAAAGCATCCCAAAAGATGTACTCGGTCCTATTGCCACATGGAGGATAGTATTGTATACAAGTCATTTGTACCATAGTTTGTTGTCCCAAGTTCATTCCTACTCCACAACATGGCTTATCCCATATCAAAAACCCTACAATAAATATATAATATAGAGTTACGAAAAATTAAAAATTACCATACATGCAGTTTTTTATTGTTCTTACATTGGTCTCATAACCTCGCTCAATTGCAAATTTAGTCATGTAAGTGAATGAATTTTTCCATATTAAAGACATTTCCACCATAAAGTAAATATCCTGGCAACAAATAGACTAGGAAGTTTGTCGCCATCGCCAATTTTTCGTTGGAAATAATACATTCTGATGGAAAAGTATTTAATACATATAAAATACATGACTAAAACGGAAAGTGTGTAAAAGTAGGGGCTAAAAATAGAAACACACATACCTTTAGCCGTTTGGGGACTATACTTAAAAATAGAAACACACATGCTTGCTTTATAAAGAGTTTTTTTTATATTCCCTCCATTCTCTAATAACCGTCCATTTAGGTTTTTCACGATTTTTAAGAAGAAAATAGTAGGGGTAATATAGATGGTGTAGGGTAAATGAAAAAGTAATAAAGAGGGCATATTGAGAAGATAAAACTAATGAAAAGGTAGGAAAGAAAAAGGAGTTTGTAAAAAGTAAAAAATGTAAGGGTAATAAAAGTGATGGTGTAAAGGTATTTTGATAGGAAACACTTACTAAGAGGGAAAAGAGAGACAAGTAATAAAAAAACATCACAAAATGGAATGTGAGACAATTATTAGAGAACGAAGGGAGTAATCACTATCACTACCATATTTCGCGCGGTTATTCAACATATCGCCCAAAACAGCATAGGTGTTTCCATAGACAAACATGGCACCAGGATGTCCACCATTGTGAAGAGTGTCCACTAGACTTTTCAGACCATCATTGAAGCTCCCAAGGATCTGATTAACCGAGTCCACACATCTCCCTGATTGGGCCTGGCCTGTCACTAGCTGGTTTGGAGTGCATCCAATTGGCCCAATGCCTGCCATATAGAACTTTCTCAGCCCAGCACTGTACAATGCCTAGACATGCAAACAAACATATTTTAAGATTTTAGTTTTGTTTTAAAGATGACAACTTATTTTTCTTACTTTAGATTCAACTCAATTTTAGCAATGACCAATGGGACGAAGATAGTATTAAGATTGGAGCTAAAACCCATAAAATTTTAAAGAACAAGCTCTTAAACAATACTTAATATTCAGCACTACTATCATTCTGAACAAGTTAAATTACGAGAAAGGGGTAAATACTTTCAAATTACCAGCGCTCTTGAATCAGACTCCAGGATTGAAAGACCTCACAAATACACCATTCAACTTATAAAAATAAAGCATTGAGCCCTTTATACCTCTTGGTGCCGGTAAGACAATAATTTTGTCGTGAAAAGTTACTTGCACCACTAGGTAAAAATGTTTGATTGCTTTATTTTAATGATACGAGCTAGAGATGTATTTGTAAGGTCTTTCAACTCAGATGTCTGATTGCAAGATAGTTTGGAGCTTGACTTATTTGCCCCTCCTCTCTTAAAGTAATATACGCACCACAAGTTGTCTAGCGTAGTGATTTAGCAGAAGGTTGGCGAATTGGGTGGGGCTGTAGTTGGAGCTAGTAGTATAAACGTAAGGCATGAGATAGTTGTTTATGTAGTCATTGCTTCCAATAGATAACACCACTATTGCTTTTGATAGGTAGCTACTCAAGTTGGCAGGAGGCATCATAGTCCTCAACTGGCTCAATGTGCTCTCAAAATTCACTACTTGTTGGCTCAATGTGTACCTTTCCATCTGCATCATTCGTAATGACTAAGTTACTAAAGACTAAGTTACTAGAATTATATTTAATACGGAGCAATTGTATTTTCAAGAAAAATGCAAAGTAACTGAAACTTATGTATGTGGAAGCTACAACAAAATTCTACCGAACTATGAATGAATGCTAAATTTGAATATGATAAAATATTACTGCATAAACTCATACATTCAAAGAAAGTTATTGACTGGATGAATATTGTCTAAAAAACTTAAACTTGAACTTAATAATTAAATATACATTCTACCAATAATAATGATAACAATAATAATAAGTTGCACTTTGAAATCCCTTAGTACCCAAATTGAGAAGGCATGCATCCCCAGTATTTTGGAACTAACACGAAGACTAATAATATAGATGGGAGAGGACAATATTTACAAAAAATTGAGCAATTTGGGGATCAAATTTGTAAAAACCAAAAT